AAGGCTATTTTTTACTACTATGATGGTGGTTGCTAGAGGGTGTAAATATGATTCGCAAGTATCCATAGTTTGAAGAAATCTTAACATCGAAAGATTTTGCGAAGCGAGCACTTTGGACAAACCCCTGAGAAAATTGAAAAGAATGACCTCGGGATGAATATGTTAGGATTCATGATAGAAAAGGTTGTGCGGAGGGAGGAAAGACATAGCAAGATTTCTTTTTACACGAAGGAAGCCAAAAGCTGCACAATACGAGCAGATATGATAATAGAGGGAGGAAAGAAAAGGGTCTAAGTTTACCAATTACAGAGTCATTAAAGTTATTAACTTCCTACCAAACCTACCTTGAAGGATGAAATGACAGTATTGGAAGCAGGGTAGGCAAGTGAGAGGAAGTTGGGTATATTTGAGTAGGTCATAAGAAAGTGTAAAAGTCATCTATCACAAAGGGTGCTCTGAGGAACGAGATAAGGCATTAAGATGACCTCTAAGAAATTAGTGGCGAGAAGGAAAATTGGGGGGAGCGGAAGCGAATAGTGACTGCAACTAACTTGAAAATAGGCTTAGTTGTCTGTTCAGTCACTTTGAGGAAGTATATACTCAATTAGGAAATTTAAAAATAATCTATATAAACTTGTGAACAGATGCTTGTGTGTAGTAATAAGAGCATCGGAAATATTGGTCAAAATTGCAGGCACAACTCGACATACAAGGCAATCCTTTCACGTATGCTGAGCTCGATGAACGTGTTTCCATAAGGCTCGCTATAAAAGATTCATCATGAAATGATAGACGAGTTCATCAATGGCGCCTTCAAAACATGGGCTCAATTTACATACAATATAAAGAGTTTGTGGTAGATCGCGTGAAAGGATAAAACGAGTTGAAGGCGTTCTGAACAATTGTGCTTACCAGGTAAGGCGACACAACGGATGCACGTTATATCCAAGAAAATATTCCAGAACTCAAAATATAAATGGAAATAACTTTGGTTGTCTTGCCTTGAACGGATCAATGTAGCTGCAACAGACTGTATAAGAGGAAAGTTCCATTCCTGAATGCACGGTTATTTTGCCTTCGAGTTGGCCGGTGAGTCAGATGACTTAGTCAAACTACCGCTCGACTCACTACCACTACTAAGGCTACTGGAGGAAAGAGAAGAAGAAGAAGAGTAGTGCCGGGCTCTGCGAGGCTGGCGCGTGCACAGCTGTGATCTGCCGACTGAATGAGATTGATGCTTCTGTTGTGTTGTTATGGCGCATGTCGGCCTCTTAGCAGAATGAGTCCTGGCGATAGAAATTCCATGAACAGAACTAGTCTCTGGACCGGCCCTTGCTAGCATTGCTGGGCAGTCGGGCGATGCAAAAAGATCAGTCATGACTGGATTATTTTGGCGCAAAACTTGCTCCGGGTTAGGATTC